ACGGCGCAGGCATGATGCTGTACACTTCAGGCACCACCAACCGACCAGTTCGTTGCCCCCTTTCTGAACTTAAGTGGCAGCTCCGAGCATGATCGCTGATTCTCTACATTAGAAAGGTGTCCTTCTCCCCCAATCCGTCCTCACGGCACAATCCAAATCCCTAATCGAAGCATGGAACTACACCCCCGCGGACCACCTCCTCCATGTCCTCCCCCTACACCACATCCACGGCACGGTCAATGCTGTCCTCACGCCGCTCCTGTCAGGCTCCACGATCGAGTTCATGTTCCCCTTCAACGCCGACGCAGTCTGGAAGCGCCTCGCCGCGCCCTACATTACCTCCAACGGTACAAACGGTACCAACGGTACCAACGGGGTCAACGGGACCAACAGCACAAACGGGACACACAAGAACATCGCAAAGGAGAAGATCACCTTCTTCACCGTCGTGCCAACAGTCTACTCTCGCCTCCTCGCAACCCACAAACTCCTCCCTCTCGACCCTGCGGAGCCCACACGAGAAGCCGTCTCCCCGCGCAACATGCGCCTCGCCATCTCCGGCTCAGCCGCTCTCCCGACGCCCATCAAGGAGGCCTGGAAGACTCTGTCCAAGGGCAACGTCCTCCTCGAACGTTACGGCATGACGGAGGTCGGCATGGCCCTCTCCTGCGGTCTCGATTTCGCCGACCGCGTCGACGGCAGCGTCGGCTGGCCCTTGCCCGGCGTCGAAGCCCGCCTCGTCGACATGGACACCGGCTCCGTCATCCCTCCCGGCGAAGACGTCGACCCCAAATCGGGCCGCGAGCGCTCCGGCGAAATCCAGCTCCGAGGTCCCACAATCTTCAAAGAGTACTGGCGCAACCCCGAGGCGACAGCCAAGGAGTTCGTCGAAGGCGAGGACGGCAAGGGGAAATGGTTCAAGACGGGCGACGTCGCCGTCCGGAGACCGGTGCCGAACGCGGGGCTCAACGCCGCGCAGGCGTCCTGGGCCAAGGGCGACATGTACTTTATCCAGGGCCGCAAGAGCGCCGACATCATCAAGACGGGCGGCGAAAAGGTCAGCGCCCTCGAGGTCGAGCGCGAGCTGCTCTCCCTCCCCGAGGTGGCCGAGGCCGCCGTCGTCTCCGTCCCCTCGGGGAAGTGGGGCTCCAAGGTCGGCGCCGTTGTCATCCTCAACACGGACGTCGTCCCACACTGGTCCCCGATGGCCATGCGGAGGGCCCTCCGGGATCGGCTCGTCAACTACAAGATTCCCCAGGTGCTCAAGGTCGTCGACCACATCCCGCGCAACGCCATGGGCAAGATCAACAAGAAGCAACTAGTCCAGGCCGTCTTTGAGGACCAGTTTAGCGATGATGAATTGTAAGAATAAGTAGCTACTGGTGCGCGGATACTGCTCCACTCACCTCACAATGTGAGATGCACATATGCTTGTTTGACTAGGACATGGAGGAATGTTGCATAGAATTTAGACAAAATAATACCTTGTTGAGCATTTGACCCTCACTGCGCAACCTTTACGAAGTAAGATTGTAGTGATGAGATAGAACTCACCAGGCAATGTTTTGTTATGAAGGAGAAGCATAATTAACAACCTTCATTTCATAAGGGTGCGTGCACCAGGGCATTCTGGCCTAAACCTAGGTATCTATTCCGGATATTTCGCATCCGCCTATGTACTATCGATCATGGCCGTCTAGAAGTTCCATAAAACCCATGGATCTCTTTTTTCGTTCTCAGCAAACGCCTTCGTCGAGCTCCAAGGACTGTCATAAGAGAGAACTTTTTCCGCCCCAGAGATGCGTTATCATCGATGCATAGCGTAGCATTGCCCCGTATTCCCCCCCACTGGCATCAGGCAAAAAATAAAAAAAAAGAAGTCGGCTGAGAAAGTGCAACGAGAAGTGATATCGCGCAGACGGAAGTCGGCCTTCTCGATAGGTAGTGGAGCCCATCGGTTCCAATAAAATGCGTTAGTGAGCATGTGGTGCGAGCTTGTGTAATTCGTTTCTGTGGTTCTTTTCAGAGGCTGTGTCCATCGCTTTAGACAGTGTGCTTGGCCTTTGCACGGCTGCTTCCGCTGTGTGCGCTGTCCGTGTGGCCGGAGAACTCGACAACCTCGTTGGCGGGGAGGTTCAGGATGTCCTTGAAGCGCTTGCCAATGTTCAGGAGGATGTCACGGCCCTTATCCTGCGAACGTCCCTTGCCACCAGCCACGTCTCCGTCACCACGGCCAGGAATGCTCTTGCCAATGGTACGGGTCCAGACACCAATACGGAAGAAAGCCTTGCGGACGTTGACGACAACACCCATGACCTCTCCGTCGTCTTCAGCCTCGAGGGTCTCGCCAATAGCGGCCAACATGACGTGAAGCCAGAGATCGTCGATGGGGATGCTGCGCTTCTCCTTGAACTGGTAGGACCACTTGCCGCCGTGCTTGTTCTGAGCATCCTCCCACTCGGGGCGGACGCCGGCCTTGAAGAGATGGTAGTCGGACTTGAGGGCAAGCTCGGAGACAGGGGCGATGTTGTTCTGGTCAATAGTTAGCGAGCGATAAGAGGGGCCGCGGGGAAGGAAGGTGCACGTACATAGACACCCCAAAACTCCTCGACTGAGTTGAAGGTGATGACCTCCTTCAGAAGATCATTCCAGTTGTCGCCCTACTCCACGTTAATATCTGGCCACGTGCCGTTCCCAATCGGGATAGACGAACCTTTCCGCTGGGTGGCTTGGTGAACCAGAGAGTCCACTTGTTCTGCAGAGGGTGCTTGACGTTGAAGTTCTCCTTGTCGTGGAAAACGGTAACGGGCTTCTCCGAGTCGTTCTCCTTGGTCTCGCTCTTCTCACCACCCTCGGGGGAGATGGGAATGGTGGAGAGGTCGACCTGCTGGTCGGGGTTCGTGGGTGTTTGCACAGAAGTCGCCATCGTGAATGGATTTGTTGTAGTGTTTTCGGGCTGATTACGGATCGGACCGATGAGGGGTAGAATAGGTCGTCAGAGGCGCTGGGAAGCAATCTCTGAAGGAAAAGGCGAGTTAGGCTATCTCGGAGGTTGAAGAAGCCAAAGGGAAAAGAGGTCGCTGGTCGCGGTTGTAAGGTGGAAGAGTTGGAAAGTGGGAGGGTTCCGCACGAGAGTGGCTGAAGGTGGTGGTGACGACGGTTGCTCGCTTCACTATTGGGAAAGTACTGGAGGGCGATTGCTTCCTTCCAGGTATTCGGATGTGGGGGAGATTCCGACGTTGCGCCAGGCAAGTCAGCAAGGATCGGAAAGGGCGGATTAGAGGAAAGATTAGAACGGGCGGTGACGTTCTGTTTTTTTCGTGGGGAGACGACGAGGTCGAGAAATGGGAAGTTGCGATGGGTTTTGCACTTTGCGAGGGATTGCGCGCAGCAAACAGAAGTCTGAGTCTGCGAGCGAGAGCCTTTCCAGTCGCAAAAAAATGCCCAAGCGGGCTTGGCCAACGGGAGGGGAGCAAGGCGTCGTAAAAGTGGGGTATATCAAGGTGTACCTCAGTACCTTCTTGGTGGGCGAGGCCTAGGTTTTTTTTATTTTTTGCGCAGGGCACCTCACAATTACGACCTAGCACAACTGCCACACCAAGCACGTAAGGCAGAGATGCCCACCCACTCAGTGAGGTGCGGTCCCGGGGTGCTAGTTAGGGCGAAGGAAAGCCCCCGACATGAGTGGGATTCTAGGTGAGCCCGGGGCACGTTGCTCAAGGTGAGAGCGGAGGCGAGGTGAGCCTAGCCTGATGGGTACGGTCCCATTACCTCAGGTTATTCAAGAAGCGAAGGAGACGAAAAATCCAGGGCAAGGTCAGTCTGGTCCCATTCAATACCAGGTTTGCGGAAGTTTAAGCAGCCCAGTGGATGTCAATTGCTCCAATAGTAGCACTTGTCAGCCTACACACCTTGTAACTCCGTGTCGTGTTGTGAGGCTTGTTGAATGTCTGTCTACATCGCCATGCAATCCGTTTCGCCAGTGTTGAGTTGCCTTCCCTCCCTCCTGTCTTTTCAAGACTAGCGGTCTAATAGAAGTATTAAACTGTTCATGTTGACTTTTAGCTTACGTTGCCTGTCATTGCTCAAGGCTGATAAGTCAGATAACTTTTCTTTCCTGCCTTCAGATTCGACCACGTCCAACAGCTCAGACGAAGCTTCCGACTCCTAGGGTTGTGCTTGCTACTTTTCTGCTCCTGTCATCCGGACTGTTCCTTTTATTTCCTGTTTCTATAGCTCACCCATCTACCAGCTGTTTGCAGCCTTTCGCAGTCGTGACGGTCCTCTCCATACTCGGCCTGAACCGAGCGCCGCCTCCTGACCCCTTCTCCTTGCCCCTTCCTACGCCAAAAGACACATCCTTGTTTCGACATCACGCTTTTATCTGGCCTCGAAGCACTGCCATCATATTTTTGGCTTCAACCTGCGGGGGACCTTTCCAGAAGCTTTCCCTAAATCCTTCCGTTGCCAATCACATTCAATGACTTGAAATGTTATCATTTCTTATGAAGCTCCCATCCCGCTCAGCTCAGGTGACCTGCGAATTAGGTGGCCTGAGCAAAATTCCTTCATCTTGAGTCAAGCAACACGCAAGCTAGGCAATCTTTCCCGTCATCCCCTACCACCCTCTTCTGCAATCGAAAACTCAGGCGAGTCGAGCTCGGCTTGAAGCGGTGATGGCTCTAGGGTTCGTTTCGGCCAGGTCGGTCTCTTGTTTCAGTCATTGGACACTGTGCCCCACATGCGTCGAGGCTCTATTGACGTCGTCTCAATGAATAGAGGGACGGTCATTTTAGGAGAGCTGCATTGTGCTCCTGGACTTGAATGAAAGAAACAGGACACTTGCTCTACTTACTCTCATACTTTTCCATTACACCGTCGGCCAAGAGCTAGGAGGGGAACGCAGGGTGGAAGACGGATACGTTTTCTTTGTTCCGCTACGTAGCTGCTAGGCGGCTGTATGCATCGCCTGTATCTCGTTGGGAAGTTCTATAATAGGTCTACGCGACCAGATGCCGACCTGTTGGAGACAAACAACAATGACATCGATGATAATGGTTGAGTGTTCTTTGTCCCGCGTCATCCCTCGGATTCTCACAAGGACAGCGACCGGGAGTATGGAGCACAACGGCCCGTTTAGATTGCAGAGCATGCTCGTATGATAACGCAGTTGAGCAAGCAGCGTGATACTCATAAAACCGAGGCGGCGCTGCGTGAGACGCGGTCGCGATGTACAGATAGCTGGTTACCAAGAGCGACATCGTTTCTTGAGCAAGCTATCCTAAATTGACGGTTTTCAACCATCTAGAATTTCGTCGACCGATCTATGAACACCCATCGAACCTCTCGAGCATTACACTACGTTTGAATCGATCCTCAAAGCACTCCAGATGACACCAACGTACCCAGGTTCACATGGCCCGAATTGTAGCGAGGCTTGCAGTCCGACGGCGCAACAGAACAGGAAGAACACGAAAGCAAATCCATCAGCAACCAGAGCATTTGCGTCCAAAGACCTCAAAGAATTGAAAGGATTTTGCCCCGAACGACTCGTCCTACAATGGGGCCTTCCACGTTCTTCGCTTACAGACGACTTCTTTACGCGTCACTATGCCGCCATCATATCAAATATCAATCTCCACGCCAAGCAGATTTTCGAAGTTGGCGATGTTCCGCCTCCAGGACCCGTATGGTCCGTGGTAACTGGCGACCAGAGTTCGGAAATGGAACGTACTATCGAGAAAGTTGCCCGGCCAGATCCGCGAGACAAGAGCCCTTGGGATGATCTGATTGCCTGCGACTACAAACGGATAGTAGTCATGAGGGCCTTCTTCTTGAAGCTTTTCGAGGAACAGATATTTTCACTTCAGCTATTTGGCGCAGACAACCAGCAGCGACTTTCACTGCTCCATCAGGACAAGCAGTTCATGAAGCACGAAGGTTGGTTCCCCCCCTCCCCTCCACCCTCATCCACGCAACCCCGAACAAGACACAGCAACTAACTGTCTACTAGGTTTCAGACGATCGGAGTTGAGAGCAAAAACGGTGAATATGCTACTAGAAGAGAATCACGGCCTGCCACCTCTGTTTTGGAAGCAAGTCGACTATTATACTATGAAGACCTTCTTGCTCATAAGGCCAATCCTGACCTGGGTGAGAATGACCTGGCCTGAGAACGGCCCGAACCCTTCTATCCGGTCAATTTTCCAGATGATTCACCACGACGTGGCTTACGCAGCTTGGCTTTCCGTCAACATTCGTCTGTCTCCCGAGGTTCTTCACTTTGAATGGCGCGAGCCCGACGAACTCTATGTGCCGGGTGACTTTGAGATCCCCGATCCAGGAGTGCTGCCAAGACCATCCAACGCCTTATTGAGCCCGACGTCTACTGGGTTTATCGTTTCGACAAGTCGATTCAGAGAGCCGCCGATAGAGCCACCGTTGTCGAGAGTGCTGATTTCCTTTGTCCCCGTCGTTCAGAGAGTCTCGCTCGTCGAGGGTGCCAATGGAGAAGAGCCCATTGGTAGCCAGAGGAGAAGGTTGTTGGAGTCTCGGACGGCCTACTATACCCTCTGGCGCCACACGGATGAGGTTGATTCATCGCCACGCTCGCTTGTCGACCACGCATGTGAGATGAGGCAACCTAGACCGACATACTTCTCTGCGATCATCCGTCCATTGTTCTGGCAGCTTCTCATGTACATTTTGCTCATTCAACTCCTGAGATACGTCTATCAACTGCGGGATGAGTACAACAGGCGAAACCATGAGGGTGGGGCGGACTCTGCATACGATCCGTCGTCCGGTCGTGCTGGGACCTATGAGGGTGTTTAGGAATCTGGTTTTACCAGCTAGCTTTAACTGGGCCTGGAGTGGTGAATTTTCGGCGTTGATGGCGTGGCTTGTACATGAGGATCAGGCGGACCTTTGTTTGAGTTGACATCTGAGCGAGCAACACAATGTGAAACTCCTTTCCAGATATCACTCAAGGGGGCAGACAGGCATGTGAGCTGGTGTTGTTGATTTAGGGCAAGGTTTGATGAAGAGGATCACTGTAAACTTGTAATGACCAGCTCTCTTAATGACCATGAACAAGAAAGATTAGAGATGGTCTCAGGGACACTCTAGTCGCCTCACTCAGCCAGCACTTCATCCAAGAAACAAAAACTGGACGTCCAGACTGGCTATGAGGCAGATTTGGCAAAAGAAATGCGTCGAGGGGGAATCGAACCCCCGGCTCCCCGACGCTGCTTGATGGCAACGGAGAATTTTACCACTAAACCATCGACGCAGATGATCAGATATCCGGAAATCGAAGCCGGACGAGCTGGTTGGAAATCTGGCTGCGAGAAGGTGACTATATCCTGAGGGGTAGAGATGGCCATTGTGTGTGGGGAGCGAGGGTTCGTGCATGAGGGTTTCTGTGGGCTCGCGAGTTGCGGTTCCCAGGGCGACTAACAGTTGCAAGCGGCGGCGGCTCCACCCGTCTCTGGGACTCCAAAGGCGTCGAAAAATTGTCCGACGAGGACAGATTGCCGCGGTTAGAGTAATTTGCGCAAGAGAGATGCTTAGATTCAATCTCGGCCGACATGTTCGGGATATTGTCGGGTTGTTTCTCTGCGTGAAAGACGTCGGCCGTTCGTCTGAATGGGCAAGCGAGAGCCAATCGTTTGGCAGGCATTGGCAAGTTGGGAAGGACCCCTCCAGGAACTCTCTGAGGGGCAACGAAATACACGTGCAGGGGGACCTGAGTTGGGGACGGTATCACGGCCAAAAAGAGGGATACGCTTTTTTCTGGCTGGGCAACTGACCGACTTCGGGAAGCCCGACATATCTGCATGAAGGTCCCTCTTTGACCGAGCAGTCGCGGAGACTGAGAACAGTTGAGTAGGTAACCCCAACCACGGCAACTTGAGACTGATTTGCCGCTGGAAGGAAGGGGTCTCCCGTGGGATTGCCACAGAAAGCCGGGAGTCCACTGGTAGGCATCTGGGTTGCTTGTCCAAGTCGAGTCAGGCGGTGAGAAAAGCAATGTCATGGATGATGGACCAAGTACTTTCAAAAGCTGCTAAGCGCCGGTACCTGCACGAGGGAGGACGAGGAGTAGTAAGGTAAGCTCAACAAGGCATGTGGACGAGAGAGACGAGGGGGAAAGTTGCAGGCTGTTGAAAGTTAGGATGGGTAAGTATTTCAGTATCAATGACGACGTTCTTTGTCCGGGTTAGCAAACTATTACTTGAAGCCAAAGAAGACAATGTCAACAGCTTTTGTTGCTTTTGCAAAGTACCGAAATACAGCCAGACACCATCAAGAGGCTCTCAAACAGTCTCCCGAGTCGGGTGCAGAGCAGGTGGTTGCAACCAGCAGTTAACTCGACTTCGGCTAGGTACCTTGCTCAACTCACAGTGACAGAGAGTGGCAGTAAGCGAGAAAATGGCGGGCCGGGGTGCGATAAGATAAGAGACAGCCCACCAGCAAGGGCCACAGCGGGATGAAATGGCAAAAAAAATTGCTTCGCCGCCCTCGAATCTCTCGAATTTTTGTGGCATGGCCCGCGCGCTAGTAGCATGGTCTCAGCGCTGGAGGGGGTAGTCGAGGGTGGTCGTGGGTGGTTGGTGGGGCTAGGGGGACCCAGAAAAAAAAGTCGAAATTGATTTTTTTTTTCGGCCTTCACAAAAATCCTGTGTTGAGCGACTGGAGCGAGAGAAATTCTTCTTGAAAGGACCCCACGTCGCCCGCCCGCCCTCCTTCACATATCTTTCTCCTCCGCGCAAACCTCCCAACCTTCAATCCTCCCCCTCCCCCATTCACACAGGCCGTTTTTTTGTCTTTGTGCATATCAAATCTCTCAAAATGGCGGACGAGGTCTACGATGGTGCCATTGGCATTGACTTGGGTGAGTTTTATTTTCCTGTTGCTGATGGACGATGCTTTTTTGAGAGGGGCGTTATTTTGTGGCGATGTCGGTCGCCGCTCAACTTTGAGGGGTTCGGTCACTTCAGGCATCACGAACAATGTCACTTCCGCCAACGCTGCAAAATATCGTCAAACATCAATCAACTATCACGGAAGGAGAGACTCGAGGAGGAGTTTTACAACCACCGAAAGAACGTGTCAGGCTGACCGAGTCCTCTCATCACAGGAACTACCTACTCTTGCGTTGCCACGTACGAGGGTACCAATGTCGAAATCATTGCCAACGAGCAGGGTTCGTTCACCACGCCCTCTTTCGTTTCCTTCACCGACAAGGAGCGTCTGATCGGTGAGGCCGCCAAGAACCAGGCTGCCATGAACCCCGTCAACACCGTCTTCGATGTCAAGTGAGTAGCCTCGCCGTTTTCTCCGTCTGCTGTTGCTCTAGATTCCTACTTTAGCCGGGGTGGGTGAGAATTTTCCCCGCCCAAGGAGGGGTAATCCGGAGCAATGGCAGAGAGCAGGAAAAAAAAATTACACAACTACAAATCGCTGACCAGCATTCTCTCACAGGCGTCTCATCGGTCGCCGCTTCGATGACCCCACCGTCAAGAAGGACATCGAGTCCTGGCCCTTCAAGGTCGTCGACGAGGGTGGCAACCCCAAGGTCCAGGTCGAGTACCTCAACGAGACCAAGACCTTCTCCGCCCAGGAGGTTTCCTCCATGGTCCTCCTCAAGGTGCGTTTTGCTCTCTGGTGATGAGACCGGAAATGAAAAGCCGGCGTCACACAACTTATGAAAATACGCAGTTTGCTAACCCCCTCAACAGATGAAGGAGATTGCCGAGGTCAAGCTTGGCAAGAAGGTCGAGAAGGCCGTCATCACCGTCCCTGCCTACTTCAACGACAACCAGCGTCAGGCCACCAAGGACGCCGGTGCCATCGCCGGTCTTAACGTTCTCCGTATCATCAACGAGCCCACCGCTGCCGCCATTGCCTACGGTCTTGGTGCCGGAAAGTCTGGCAAGGAGCGCAACGTCCTCATCTACGACTTGGGTGGTGGTACTTTCGATGTCTCCCTCCTTAACATCCAGGGCGGTGTCTTCACCGTCAAGGCCACCGCTGGTGACACCCACTTGGGTGGTCAGGACTTCGACACCAACCTTCTTGACCACTGCAAGAAGGACTTCCAGCGCAAGACCAAGAAGGACCTCTCTGGCGACCCCCGTGCCCTCCGTCGTCTCCGCACTGCTTGCGAGCGTGCCAAGCGTACCCTTTCCAGCGGTGCCCAGACCACCATTGAGATCGACTCTCTCTTCGATGGCGAGGACTACACCACCCAGATCAC